GTAACATCACAAATATGTGTTTTATAATTATATATTGATTGAATTCCCTTCAGCTGCACCTCTTATAACAGCTGTGTGATTTCTTTGTATGGGTTTATTTAGAAGTCGAATAAGGGAAAGCTGGACAAAATGGTATCTGCCGAAACAGCAGATGGTAGTAAACTGAAAGAAACTGCAACCAAAAAGCTGGGGAAAGTATTTTTATTTCAAATGCTGATAAGGACCTGATGGCTTATAGCATTGGAAGTGAAATATCATAAACATTGTTATGAAATGTTTCCACAACACTAACTTCTTTTCCTTGGACCAAAGGTACGAAACAAGAGTGAAATTGTTTATACAGATTGCCTCAGTCAAGCAAGTGTAGCAGAAAGTGTTATGCATGATGACATAGAAACGTCTCAGAATTCACATAAGTCTGAATCTGATGATGGAACGAAGGCATCTATGTGCAGTACACAAGTGCAACACTGAAAGAAATGTATATAGTTGACCTAACCGTGAGAAACAACTTCCTTTATTGTACATCAAATTGTTACAGGAACTGGCCACCAGATGCATCAGACATTACTGGTGAAAACATCAGAAAGTTTGTATCCCCTCTCTTGTTTAATTTTATGGCATGGATTCTTGGGTTTTCAGATGACCCAAAAGAGGCTGACTATATTAAATTAGATGAACTACATAAAAGATTTTTTCTCTGTGTCATGATTTGGACTACATTTCTAATAGGAGGAAAGTACAGAACACTTAAGGTGGCTCCCTACAGTTCTCTAAAATTCTAGGTATTTTGAGTAACGTTCGCTTTGAACCGAATTTATATTAGATACACTTAAGACAAGGCAATATGATCATTTCCAGGAAAGTTCAGAAGCTGTTTGCTGTCCATTTATGAACAAATTAAAACAGTGTTTGTGTTGCCATGGCAACCATGGCGTTTAATCTTTTGCACTTTTATTGTCTAATTTCACAATAAATTGACAATATCTATATTTTCCTTCGGTGAAGTTTTCTGAATTTTTTTTTGAAGATTTATGGCCCATAAAGGAAAAACATATCAAAATTTGAAGGGGAATTTACAAATAAGTTTTCGAGATATTCGTGAATGACGGTTACAGAAAAAGTTATTTGTAGAATTTCTTAAAATTTGGATATGTTGTACCACTCGTCTTGTATAACAAAAATACAAAGTTTAAAAAAATTTCACCGAAGAAAACACGAGAAAATTATCGCTAAAATCGGCGTGGCCAGCATGAAAAAAAATCGACTCGACATGAGCACGATCTGCGCATGCGTTTAAATTGTAGCGTGTGATTTATAGTGATTTCAACTTTTTGGCTTACAATACATAATAAAACAGATATTTCTGACTTGTTTGACATGAAAATAAAATATTAATCTTGAAAATACTAATAAAAAACACTATTATAGGCATTGTATTAAATCCAGTGTTAGTTTACATTTGTTTTTGTTGTTAAAATCGGTGTGAAAACTTTTCAAAACATCGAACTACAAGTTTAACTTTTCATATAAAACGACTTATAACTGTTTTATTTGATTTAGCAGATAAAACGATACCTGTGATTTGAATTGATTGACAGAACTTATATAAGTTTCGGCAACAGTTCACTACTGTTCAAGAGTTAATAAAAGACAGTATCATTTCAGTTTGACAGCTCGCAAAACAACAAGTTGAAAATTTTTAGCAATATGAAAGACACTACTGAACGTAAATACGTAAAAACACACTAAAAGATAGGTTAAACTAGTTAATAACATACGTACTGTTCGAATTCAGAAAAAATAGGATTATAATGAAAAACTGGGGCTTTCTTTGTAGATAAAAACGCCAAAAAACTTCCCACGGCTTGTTTCAATATTTTTGCCGAACAGTAAACACGACGATTCCACGCGCAGGTCGCGAGGATGAAGTCTGATCTATATAAATCGTATTTAAACTGTACTAACTGTAGGGAGCCACTTTAAGTCCCTAGCAATGACCGATCGACAGATTTCTGGTTCTTCTGGCCTGATAAGATTCTGAGTGGTTTTGGACATTGTGTCTCACTATCTTTGACAATGGCATATAATTCACAGGCAACTATCAACACATCAACATTATATCTATTGCACAGGCAACTATCAACACATGAACATTATTCCAGTAATATCTGATGCCAGTTCTTGTACTAAGCTGATGCACAATCATGCAAGTTGTTTCTCAATGTTAGGCCAACTGCACACATTTCTTTCAATGTTACACTTGTGTATGTGGATGCTTTTGTTCCAATGTAAACATCAGATTCAGACTCTTGCCAGTGAACTCTGAGATGTTTCTATGTCATCATCCATAAAACCTTCTGCTACACTTGCTTGACTAAGGCACTCTGCATATTAAACAATTTCACTCTTGTTTCGTACCTTTGGTCTATGGAAAAGAAGTTGTGGAAACCCTTTACATGGCTGTGTACTTTTCATAACAATGTTTTTGGTACTATTTGACTTCCAAAGCTACTACGTCCTTATCAGCAATTTGAATCAAAATCACTAGCTTTCTTGTTGCTGCTTCATTCAGTTTAACAGCTTTTGCTTTTTAAACTTCTAAATAATAAAGAACCCATGATGCATGAAAATCACACAACCGTTATAAAGTGAACGGCTGCGGCCAGTGTAATAAACTTATCAACTAAGTGACATACGCATGGCAACACGTGGGAATTGCGTGATTTAGTTGCCACACTCGTACACACACAAGTCTCCCATCTTGTAGCAAGTCTGCCAACAGCCGTCAACAAGTTGTCTTCGCACTGCTTGTCCGAAGTTGTCAACAAGTTTGGAACAAGCTGTTAACAACTTGTAATAACCTTATTAATATTATTAGGCTTGTTGCAAGGTTGTTCCAACAAGTCTGATACAGTTATGATAGAACAATATTGTTACAACCTGGTGTCGTCAACCTTGTAACATTCTTGTTATATCATGAGCGTATCAGACTTGTTAGAACAACCTGGTAACAAGACTGATAATGCCATTAAGCTTCTTACAAGTTGTTAACAGCTTGTTCCAAACTTGTTACAACAACTGAGAGCAAGCAGTGTGAAGACAACCTGTCGACAGCATGTGAAGAGATTTATAACAACTTGTTTGCAGACTTGTAACAACTTGTGCATTTTTACGTGTGTAGGCGATCTCAGCATTTTCTTTATGGGTGGAGTTTCATCCGATTTCTTCATCATTATTAATTTCGATACCAGAGGAAGAAAGGTACACCTTCTTTGCCCATTCTCTGACAACTCGATACTTTCAACTGTGCATGCTACTCTCCAATTTCCATGCTGTCGCTAACAAATTGCAAACTTCTCTGAGCAACATTGCGTTCGTCCCTGTCTAGCATTAGCCAAATTCTACGACAATCTAAACATTTTTTATACAAAACCGGACTAAAACTTGTAAGTGGGCCTTTTTCCCCCTCAAAATGAAGTAAACATGAATCAGAAGACGCCATGTTTACAAATGCTCAGCTGGAGACTTCATGTAAGAACGAGTGTGAGCCCGCGAAAATTGCCATTTATAGTGTTTATTACACCAAGTATCCTGAACAAAAATGGCGGCGATTGATTGCGAAAGATGTTGATTTTGTGAATTTTCGAAGAAGAAATACTCGAAAACTGCAGGTTTTGAGAAGTGCCAACAAGCGGATTTGGATTTTGTATGATTTATCCTAATTATTTATCTTGTTTCAAAGTAGTGCCCGAACCATGGCAACGGAATTCATTTTCTAAGCGACTTTTCGTGCCACAGAATACGGCCTATTTTAATACATTGACTGGTGCAAGAACTCTCAAAATGAAAATTGTTTAATTTAAACAAAACATATGAATAAATACTGCTGCTGATTTGAGCAAGTAGTTAAATTTTCTATAGGCATGCATTAAATATGGCTGACAATTTACAATTAATCTGGCATATACAGTTGGCACTTGGGATATACAAATATATTAATAAACATGGATAAGTCTGATTCAAATATAAGACTTTTATAGTAGCATTTGTTGAAGTATAAATGCTATAAATATATTTATATCAGCATTCTAATTCCGTTTATATTGTCGCGGCAAATTCAAATTTTATCGAACCACATGCTCGAATTTCACAAATGAAGATTGGAGGTATTTCCTTTATAATTTGCTTTATTATAAATAAAATATAAACTTATTCTTACCTGAACATTATGCAAACATCCCTGATGTATTACTAGTGAAAATCCAGTTGAATCCCATCAAAAATAGTTCTATTTTGCACATAAACCATTGACAAACACTGACTTGAAAAAATATCGGAGGTGTGATGATCTATCCCTTGATGCTTTGCGCGCGTGGCAAGAAAACTAGACACCAGTCTGTCAGTCGCGCACATTGCGGTAATTATTCATTTAATCTTAGAAAATAAATAGTCCCAGTATTAAATTCTCTATTAATAAATGTCTATGAGTAAAATATGATATAGGAATAGTGTAGTTGTATAAGAAATTAAAATTCCTATAAGAATTCTTATAGGATATGATAATGGTGAAAAAATTCCTATAAGAAATAGAAATTCCTGTAGGAAGGAGTTATTTCGTAAATTATATTTATCTGTATAATTTTTTATATAAGTAAAGTTCTTATACCCATGCATGTATCAGGCCATAGTGGTATAGGCTATGAATTTTTCCCACCATTTTCCAATCCTATAAGAATTCCTACAGGAATTTTTATTTCCTATAGGATTTTTTTTCACCATTTTCAAATCCTATAGGAATTTTCATTTCCTATAGGAATTCCTATAGCCATTTTCCAATCCTATAGGAATTCCTACAGGAATATTTTTTCCTATAGGAATTTTTTCACAATTTTCAATTCCTATAGGAATTCCTATAGGAATTTTCAATGCCAATAGGAATTCCTATAGGAAATTTCAATTCCTATAGAAATTCCTATAGGAATTTTCAATGCTTATAGGAATTTCTATAGGAAATTTTAATTCCTATAGGAATTCCTATAGGAATTTTCAATGCCTATAGGAATTCCTATAGGAAATTTCAATTCCTATAGGAATTCCTATAGGAATTTTTTTGACCATTTTCAATTCCTATAGGAATTCCTATAGGAATTTTCAATTCCTATAGGAATTTTCAATTCCTATAGGAATTTTCAATTCCTATAGGAATTCCTATAGGAATTTTGATTTCCTATAGGAATTCCTATATATATATATATATATATATATATATATATATATATATATATATATATATATATATATATATATATATATATATATATATATATATATATATATACGAGTAGGTTTGTGTATACGAAACGCAAAGAGTGCTCAATGTCATAAAGATAGAGCAAATGTAGAATTTCGCTTACCTCAAAATTCCGCAACAGTCTGTTTCATCAGTAAAGAATCATCAGGCGGTATGACAAGTTTCGAAAAATAGGGCTGCTTATATGTGATTTGGATAATATCAACTTGCCAATTGATATTAAAATCTTTCTTGCTATCTTTCAATGTCCAAATATATTTCGAAAGTTCAGTTTTGTTTGAGTGCTCTTTATGCTAGAAAGTATAGTTATGGTTAGCCAAACGCTCTTTAAATGTAGTTGATGTCATGCCAATATAATTCATGGTCGTGTTAGGGTTGCTTGTTGTGACAGTTGCTTTGTATACTATGTTGTTAGTCATGCATTGTTTCTGAAGTGTGCATATTGCGTTTTTCGAACAACTGCAATTGACAGTGCCCTTGCCCTGTGCCTTGTTCTTCCTAGCTATATGTGCATTGTGCTTAGTGATTATAGACTTAACATTGCTCATGCAGCTATAACTTACTTTTACTGTATTTCTGTTAAAGATCTTATGCAGCTTGTGGTGCGAAGGAAAGTGCTTGTCGATAAGGTTGAGAAAATTAGGCCCTATATTTGTGCTGACATTCATGCTAAATGGTGGGTTGAACCAAATGACATTACGTTGCCTATTTCTGCGTGCTTGTTGTGGTGCGTGTTGAGTGTAGTTAAGATCATGATTAAAGTTGCTATGGTCAAGTGCGTTTTGGTATGCAGGTGCAGATTCCATAAATGTTTGCTCATCTGATGAAAGCATTGCGATGCGCTTGTTAACTGATGTAGGAAGCTGCCTTATAATGCTAGGTGGATGGTTAGAGTACCTATTTATGTATAGCGGATCGTCATTGGGCTTTCTATAGGGCCTATATTTTCCGTTGTTAAGATTGAAAGTTACATCTAAAAAGTTTACTATGCGTAAATTTGATTCGGCGGTGATTTTTAGGTCAAACAGCTCGAAAATTTTGTGGAGTTCTTTCCTTGTTTTGTCTGCTAAACGTGCCGATTTACTTTTTATAAGGGCCAAACCGTCGTCTCTATATAGGCCGATGCTTTCTTTGCCAAACTTCTTACTTAGGTGATTTAGGATGAAAAGGCCAACTAATTCACATATTTCGGCGCCATCGTGGCTGCCCATGGTAACGTCAAACAAACCTTCACTATCTTTTTTTGTCCATGGTTTTCCGGTGTTGAAAAGCAGAGATTTTCTGCTTCTGTGAAGCATTTATATCTTTAAAAGACCACAAAAAAAATTTCGAGAACAATCCAAAATGTCGGCTAATTAATCCCGCTAAAAGCGAATCAGGAAAATTGAGCAAAATTATTTTAGATGAAATTAACTCCAATTTGAGACAAAAACTGAATTTGAACCAGTGGAGAAATACAAAACAAGTAATTGAATGGTTTGGAAATATAAAAGACAAAGAAAGACATAGTTTTATTTCGTTTGATATCGTTGATTTTTACCCATCCATTTCGGAAAAGCTTTTGGACCAACTGACGAGCCGCACGGGTTTAAACAGGATTAACTTTTAGGTGTTGCTTAACGCAGCATTAATAGGAAAAGTGTGAAAGGTGTTGACATTTGTTTCCAATTAATAGCCTGGATTATTTTCCCTTGCATGTAATTTAATGCCAAGTAATGAGATGTAGTTTAATCATTGAAAAATATTAACTAATCTAGTTTATGAAGCGACTTGTCAAGTTGTCATCACCAATTACTGCATATTAGAACTTCAGAATATAAGTTTACAACATTTTGGGCGCCAAATTCAATTGCGCCAAATCATCTGAAGCGAACAGCATGTCAAGCAATCATGGCGTACAAACGCGTTTACTCAGACAAGCTTCATACTCTAAAAAACTGGTATGCCTACTGGTATGCCTTTATCTGTCGTAACGAAAGACGCTCTATATAAAGGCTATAAGCCATGGCCATGGCCCAACGTGTTGGTTGACAAAAATATCAGCGAATCAGTTTGGTAAGACACTTTTTACTAATTTACATTTATTTTACAATAGTCATACACATATATTGCTATTTTTATGCTTATTGACTCTGTAATCCAAATTGGTTTCTGTTTTCTATCCTTCTTACACATGTGCCAACCTCAACTCCATGCTGACGAGTCCATGAGACCATGAAGGACGAAACGCCGCGTACAGGGATATTGAATTTTACAAACATGACTATCTCTTTCTCTCGCTCTATATATTTTACATGCCTCCAGTACAAGCTTTTTAGTACAGCGCGATCATACTCTAGCTTTGGGTCTGATCAAATATATATTTTACACCACAGGATATATTTTACCTTTACAATTTTACACATGCATGCATCTCCAGTTTTGTGTTTCATAAATCTACACCTGTAGGCTACTTATATTTCTTAGGTTCACATTTATACAAATACAAGTCGTTTTTTTATCTTTTATCCTCAGTTTCATCAAATACAACATAATTTTCACAGGCATACATTGTGCCAACAACACGTACGAGGCCATCACACTATCATATTTCACACAGCACTTTTTGATCTAACGTTTAGGGATTATTGAGGCATAAAATTATTACTAGGACACCAATATGGTTCTCATTATATCTAAACTTAAAAAACAGGTTATGAAGATGTTCCATCTTTTCTTAAGCAGTGAAAGCTATAAATAGGAGTCTGTATTTTTCTCTGCATGCAGTACATATCCCACTATAAATCACGGCGCAACGCAAAATATAGCCTTTGCCTCAGCAGGAATACCAGCAGGTCCTTTTAGTGGAAACTCCTGTGCCAGAAAGATGTGCCATCTTTTGCTGGCAGGTTATGAAGATGTTCCATCTTTTCTTAACCAGTGGAAGCTAAATAGGAGTCTGTGTTATTCCTTGTATACGGTACATATTATATACTATAAAACACGGAGCAACGCAAAATATATACCCTTTGGCTTTGCCTCTGCCGGAATAATTAAGAGTCCTTTTAGTGGAAACTCCTGTGCCAGAAAGATGTGCCATCTTTTGCTGGCAGGTTATGAAGATGTTCCATCTTTTCTTAACCAGTGGAAGCTAAATAGGAGTCTGTGTTATTCCTTGTATACGGTACATATTATATACTATAAAACACGGCGCAACGCAAAATATATAGCCTTTGGCTTTGCCTCTGCCGGAATAATTAAGAGTCCTTTTAGTGGAAACTCCTGTGCCAGAAAGATGTGCCATCTTTTGCTGGCAGGTTATGAAGATGCTCCATCTTTTCTTAACCAGTGGAAGCTAAATAGGAGTCTGTGTTATTCCTTGTATACAGTACAGTACATAGTATACTATAAAACACGGCGCAACGCAAAATATAGCCTAGTTGGCTTTGCCTTTGCCGGAATAATTAAGAGTCCTTTTAGTGGGAACTCCTGTGCCAGAAAGATGTGCCATCTTTTGCTGGCAGGTTATGAAGATGCTCCATCTTTTCTTAACCAGTCGAAGCTAAATAAGGGTCTGTGTTATTCCTTGTATACACTAAATATTAGTATGTTGCACTATAAATCACGGCACGCGCAACACAAAATACTGAGCCTTTGCTTCTTTTAAGAGTCCTTCTAGTGTGAAGACGCTTCATTTTTCTTAACCAGTGGAAGCTATTGAGAGTCTGTATTACAATTATCCCTTGAAAATTATGGAGCAAAATACGTAACGCAAATATATAGCCTTTCAAAATATATTATGTTGTATAATTATATATAATCTATTTTCCGCTCCTTGCGCGACCTTTTTCCAATGTAGGCCTATTGCAATCCGTAAGGGAAAACAAACTAATAAGGAGATATTTATACCATATACCTAAAGAACGCATTGCGCATATAAACCAGAAGCATCTTTTGGCGCATCTAAGCCAAAATAGCATTGTGAATTAGCTACACCTGGAGTGGTATCTAGCGGTATCCTGTAGTCAACTGTCAACAATCGAGCCATTTATTTGTACTAAACTGTACCTAAAATATCATATAACATATATAGGTTAATATTCGGACTGAAATTAAACTTATTACATGTTTGATCTCACACTGTGTTTGAGCAGTTTCTCCTGGATTGATGATATCGCATAGCGTTAATTGTTGGTGGGTAAGCTGCACCCGCTTCCTGAAAAATGCAAACTCAGTTTGCAAATCCCGCTGGGTTTCAAAACGTGCGGCTCGTCATGGTTAAACTTATTTGATAACCGTTACCATTTTACCGTAAATATTGTTTCAATGAAGTGAAGTTTAAATTAAGAATGTTTATTGGATGGATGTGCTCTTTTATTTTTGTTTAAGGTCTTTGGGAATGCACGAAAATTAAATCATGAAGCGATTTTGATTAAAAGATTTATTCTAAATAATCAATGACCCTGGGGAATCAAATTCTAAAGTTCCAAGAAGTGTTTTTTTTATAAATACGCCTCGTTTAACGAAGGACCAAAGAGTTTTGATATCTTAGAATATGCAGGGGTAAATAATGTTCGTGAGGTTATACCGGCGGCGTTGGACAGGATGTCTCTGACAACAAACGTGTACTTTCTCACTATAGTGCGTCTAAGCACAGGTTATTGCTGTATATTAAATATTTAATAGGCCGTTTTTGGCTAATTCTCAACACTTTCAAAAATGGCTACTCAAGTTTAAACGCAGCTCTCTCGGTCAATATTGCACGAAAATGCACCGGGCGTATATCAAAATTTAAGTTAGACAATACTGAATGCAATGCACGTAGCTCACGTGTAATGGTTCTTTTAGCTTTTAAGTTAAAACAAATCAAACAGGTTAACCTTTTCTTGCGACACCCGGTATATATATATATATATATATATATATATATATATATATATATATATATATATATATATATATATATATATATATATATATATATAGGTCTTGAACCCGCGACCTTCGAATTACTAGATCGACGCTCTACACAGCAAAAAATCATTTTCTTATTAAGAAAAAAATTTCTTAATTTAAGAAAAAAATCTTAAAATAAGAAAATAAATTTCTTAATAAGAAAAAAAATTCTTGAAATAAGAAATTTTTGAATCCCAAGATATCTTTTTTTTAAAATAAGAAAAATTTTTCTTAATAAGAAAACATTTTCTTAAAATAAGAAAATTTTCTTATAATTTCTTAGTTAACGCGAAAGCATTTTCTTAAGAAAATACGATTTTCTTACTTTAAGAATATGTTTGTAAGACAAGAAATGAAATTCTTAAAATACAAAAATATAAAATAGTAAGACATTATTACTTAAAATTTTCGAAGCAAGAAAATGTAAAATGCTAGTGTTATAAGGACAACTTATATCTTAACAAAACTTAGAACAACGTATATCATATTGCGTCAGGTAAATTTGTAGTTTCGAATTGAAGAAACTATATGACCGGCAGCTCACGGTTGATCAAACACTAAATGGCCGGCAGTACATTGACTATATAGTTAAAGTTGAATCTTCAGTATAAGATAGATAAACCGATCCCAATCCCAAACCCTTCTCTAACCCTAACCCCTAACCCTAACCTTTTGAGAGTTAGACCGGTGCCGGTAATATAGTCACTTTGTTTTTATTTCCTTTCCAAAATTTGATCTCGTTTCAGTTTTATTGGTCGTTGAAGAGAATTTTTGCCCTCCGGAACATCCTCGTCCCCAGGCCCAAGCTCGGGCGGCCCTCACAGTGGCCCTGGGTCAGGCTGTTGAGCAGTTGATTGTGATTGGTTCTTTTGCTCTAAAGGAATGTTGCGGGTGGAAAGGAAATGCGGGTTAACAATAAACAATGGCTGGCTCGAAGAGTGGCAATTCAATAAACTTGTATTAAATTATGGTAGAAATCAGATATTTACATGTAAATTTTTGCTTAAACTATGGTATGGACACATTCAAGACTTCTGGAAACAAACTACATGGATATTTGAAGGATTAAAACATCTGAAAGTTGAAACGAATTGAATGATAAAGATATATATTTTACAGTTCAAGACTCAGATATCAGTCACGGTCCTACTAAAGAAAGACTATAGAAATTTATCTTGTGTATGCAACGTCTACAAGATTGTGTAAATTCGTCTACAAGATTATTGTGTAAATTGTCGCCCTCCACCTATCTGTCTGCGTCAACGCAAGTTTATACATTGTATTCGACAATTTGAATAGTTTATAAATTTATAATGTAATCTACGAAAATTTAGTATTTATCAAATACTTGATTCACAAAGTGAATGGCAGCATTTTGTTCTGCTTGCCAATCACAATGAACAGTTCACAATGGTCAATGGATCCAGTGTTGTTTGAAAACCACAAGCTCAATTGTTATTAACCCAAGGTGAAAAGCTGGCTTTTCACACACAAAATATTGAAGGGATTTTCTAGATGGAATTAAATTATTTATTCAAACTATTGAACTATTGAAGCAAATTTAGAGAATACAGCATATTAATAATTTAACCAGACAACCAGTTATGTGTCAAGTCTAAAGACGGATTTCCAGTGCTTGCATCTAATTAAAATTAACAGTTCAGCATTGTGATTGGATGAAAGTGCTCATGCATTGCAGCGAGCTGCTTCGTGAGAGGACTGGAAATCTGCCTTAAGAAGCATTTTAGCTACCTGTTGCTAAAGTTCATTTATAAACACTGTCACTGAAATATTTATTAACAAATACACCCTTCTGGAAAGTACATTAGGGATGGATTTACTGGGGGGGTGCACCCCCCTAGCCATGGCCAGGGGGTGCTATTTTTCATGATAAAGCAAAACTTATTAGAGACAAAATGAGATTCAGTAATTTGAGTAATAACATGATGATAAGCGAACTGTGAACAACAATTACAATTCAAATACTGTAGTCAAGCAAGACTTTGCAGTAGTGGAACAAGTTGATAGATGGGTAAGGTCACTGGAAACCAATTGCAACGTAATCGTTCGGAAATTTTTTTTGCCTAAAAAGTTGTCTACGGGGGGGGGGGGTGGAAAGGTCATTGCTCTCTGCGAAAAAATTTTTTCCCCCCAAAATGTTTTAAATAGAAGTCCCTAAAAAAAGTTGCACCCCCCTTACCAGATCATGCTGGATCCATCCCTGAAGTATACATCACTTTGACTATTCTGGTTTTGTAGTATGACATATCCTCTTATAGGAATTCCTATAAGAAAATTATCCTACTTTCCTGTAGGAATAGTAAATGACACACAATGTTCTTCATCAGTCATCGCTCTTAATTTTTTAATGCAAAAAAATATATACGATTATTAATAAATATACACTAATATTACAAATATAAATATTTATACAAGAAATTGGTTACACTAAACATTGCAGACCAGTTATAGTTTTCACCAATGGTTTAATAACAAGTCAAAACAAAAACATAACCTAAAGAAAACCATTGCAGTGTACACAAGCACCAATTAATCATTCTACCTCCATGCAATGCCATATTTATTGACCTTTGTTATTAAACCATCCAGGTAATAACTATAATTGACATGTAAAGTTAATTACATTAACCCATTAATTTAATCGTATGGCATTAGACAAGTAAAAAATAAGTAGGCAGCACTGGGGCACATTGCAGCTCAATGGGTTAACTAGAGACATTGTAAGATTTTTTGTTAAC